GGTTCAGGTGGGCGCCCTCGCCTGCTGCCTACACAGGTCGGCCCCGCACCATCGGGGATGCGAACCCAGGCCTCTGGCGTCACTCAACAGGGACACAGCTTGGTGAGCTAAAGAGAGATCTCTCTGCAGCCTTGCGGCTGTGGTCCTGCTATTACAGGGAAGGGCTGTGACGTCATTGTTTATGGTAAGCCGCCTTTTACACAGTGCCTGTCAGCCGTATGCGTTACACTTTCCCCCGCTTAACTCGCGGTCCTCGGCGAAGGGCTATCCCACCCCACTTCTAACACCAATGTAATGCAACGGGGTTCAGGTGGGCGCCCTCACCTGCTGCCTACACAGGTCGGCCCCGTACCGTCAGGGACGCGAACCCGGGCTTCCGGCGTCACTCAACAGGGATTTTGCAATTTGCAAAAAATGCAAGTGCTATTTAAAACTAAGATTCTAATCTAAAGTAGATCTCCTATGCGCTGATTACACTCTACTGATGCGGACAAGAGCAATTATCCGCATTTGAAAATGCCTGTGTTGCCAAAAGCATCTAAAATGATTACAACATTTATGGACATGTCCAATACATACCTACTATACAGTATATATTGTACTGTTTATACTATATACAATTTATTTTACACAATATATATCTACTGTATTATTGGACATTTACATACATAAAACATTCAACATTATTGAGAGACAGGCATAATGTCTCTTCCTTGGGCCATGACAGTAGATTACACACTGTATTATTATTATTGTCATTGTTGTTGTGAGACTGTGAGACAGTTTCTACACTGCCTTGCTTTTAATCTATCACTTAATAAAAAGGTCAGTGTAGTACATGTTATTTAATTTATTTATTTTAGAATTACAGTATCTTTATTATCCCCAAGGGGTGAGAAGGAGAGAAGATGTTGTAATGTGTACAGCATTATACAGTGTCATATTCAGGTAATTTATTATATTTTGTATTACATCGCACTCTCCTATTAAGTTAAATTGTTTTACTTTTTTACAAGCTGAAAAAGACAGAACAAATACATTTGTGAAATTACATTCCTAAATGTCCCCCACTGCTTTCTACAACCTTGAGGAGAACACAAAAAAGTCTGTTAATAGAAATATTCCAACTTTGTAAACTGAGTTAACATTCTATTTGTTTCATTTAGCTGAAAAAGAAGATCTACTGTAGTTAAACTTACTGGAATTTGATTTACTATAAAATCACAAACATTGACTCAGGGGCAGGCTTTGTGACTGCTGCAGTTCATAACCTCATAACCATCGATGACTATTGGGAATGTGTATTAAAGACAGAGAGTGAAAATAAAAGCCCCCACCCAGTTTGTGAGGAGATAATGTGCCACCAAAAAAGTTAAGATGAAATAGGTGCAAAGCATCATAAGTGCGACTCGGTTGTTATTTCTAACAACTCTGTTGAAGCCAAATAATTAAAAAAATCTATTAATATAATTATATAATATTGTAGCGCATTCGCCTGGCGCTGAGGCTGAAGAGCACCTGGCTGAGGTACGCGGCGAGGGGCAGGACGGGAGTAGCAGTGGGCAGGGCGGAGACTAGGAAGGCTGCTGACCAGTGCAGCTGACTCACTGCAAAACGGGTGTAGAGAGTGGTGAGATTGCCCGGATTCATGTAAATAGTTCCCTGGTTTCGCACCCCTTTTATACTTTTATACCCAATTGCTACCCTATACCTGTGAAACTACTCGAATAGACCCCAGTATGTTGCGCTCTCTCTCTTTTTCTGGTGCTCGTGCATTCTCTCTCTCTTGCTCTCTCTCTGCTTGCGTGGGGGCGCGGTTGTTGTGCTTGCTGTGCCAGGCGCTCGTCAGAAAAATAAAAGTGCCGTTTTTCATTCAACGAGTGTCTGAATCACTGTGTCCGTCCTTGCCGAACCCGAAAATACCACAATATATAACTGATACTGAACTGATCAAACAAGAACAGTAAAAAAACATTTACAAAAAACTAAAATTAAGATTTTAAATTGTATAATTTGAAAATATACATAGTAGCATTAAAATGTGTATTTAAAACTAAATTCGGTATACACAAAAAATGTGATTACTGTTTAAGGGCATCTTTAAATGTCCTTTCTCTTTTAGAGCATCCTGGACACTGTTGTTCTGGAGGCTCATTCATGTTATTAATGATTGATATAATTTTAATATTTGACATATTGTGATATGTATAATTTGTAGAAATAGAAATATAGCTTGCATACATTTATTGTTGAAGAAAGTCCTTAATTTGATAAAAAAAAGGTAACTTGTGTTTTGGCTGGAACTGAACTCAGATACAAATACCATTATACAGGAACTGAACTCAGACCCTATTGCACGATAATGCAGAATGCTACTACTGACCTACCAATCCATTGCTGTATAACATTACACAGCAACGTGTGTATCGGTGGGTCTTAACACTCCTAGTCTTTGTGAGAAGTACGGAGCTGCTTTACATAAGGTAGCTGCAATGGAATATACTAGGTAAAAGTTAATTCCAAGCAGGAAAGCAAAGATACAAGGTGTTTCCTCTATAAATCTTCAGTTTACAGACCGTCCAAGGTAATTTATTATTAATAATATCTTCTGTATCGCATTAAAATTGGAACATTTTTTACAAGTGTAAATCCACCTATTTTCTAACCGCTTTATCCAGGACAGGTAACAGTTTCACCAATAGTATTTGGTAACATTTGTTATGCTTTTGACAGACTTCAGAATGACTTAAGAATGTTTCCACTGATGCTTAAAAATGTAACAATGCGTACTGTGGTAAGAGCACAGAACATCTTTCCACCTGTGAAAAGATTTGCATATGTAGTTTATTCTTATCTGTGTGAAAACAGGAAATACAGATGGAGTTTCAGAAATACCAAAAAATTCAATGTAGTTTCCATAATATTTACTGTTTTTGTTTTTCAAAGAAATATTTATTTGTTAAAAGAAAGTTCAGGCCAGGAGCAGGGTTCAAACCCTCAACCTCTAGCATGTGAATTACAGGCCAAAGCCATTACACCACCATATCACTTGATAAGTTAAGCTATAAATGAAAAGGGCAGGCAAAATGTTTCCAAGAAATCACGGGTGATTGAGTCAAATTGATGCAGATGTTTACAAAGAAAGTGTACTACTGTGATAAATTAAGCTATATGAATATAAATAAATCCTTAAATATCATTATTAATTTCTTTAGATACGCAATTCTGTATCATATTCTGTATTAATCGAATTCTTAAAAGAATGCTTTTTTAACTGCGATAAGGAGCACAAAAATAGATGATTAATAAATTGAAGTTTGTGAAAACAGTGACAAGTCACCCCAAACAAAACACAGTTTTAAATAAAAGCAGTTTGAAATTATTAGTTGTTATTAATAAATCACTTAACTTTGAACGTGTTGTGATATTTAGAAATACCAACAAATTCAACATAGTGTCGATAATATTTACTATTTTTGTTTTTCAAAGAAATGTTTATTTGTTTAAAGAAAACTCATGGCAAGAGCTGGGCTGAAACCCCCGACCTCCAGCATGCAAGTCAGATGCCAAAACCATTACACCAACGCGTCGCTTGACAACTTAAGTAATAACAGAAAAGGGTAGGCAAAAAGTTTCCAAGTAATCGCGGGTGAATGAGTCAAATTGATGCATATGTTTACAAAGAAAGTGTACTACTGTAATAATTTGAGCTATATGAATATAATTATATCGTTATTATTTCTTTAGATACACGATTCCATCTTATATTCCCTATTAATCAAATTCTAAAATGTATGTGTTTTTTTACTGCAATAATGATCGCAAGTATTCATAGAAAGGGTTAAAACATTATAACTTTTAGTTAAGTATATAAACTTAATATAGTTAGAAGGAGCACGTAAAAGCATTTCCAAAATAACCACAGTATGTAACCGAATGAAAGACTTTGATGCCTAAAATGGTTATGAAGAAAGTGGAATACTGGTGTGTATTTTTTATTTAAACTACCAAAACCAGCCATATACAGTTTACAGAATATGTTCATTTTCCTAAATTAATATCGTTTATGACCATATTAATATTCAATATTAAGCAGATTTAAACATGCACAGTAAAGGGATTAAATGAAGCAATCATTTCACTAATAACCAATGCACCACGAGTGCCGTCTGTCGGTCATTTTGGCCAGCCAATCCCGTACTGCGGTATAACGTGCTAAACTGTAGATAATTTTGCGCAGTATGTGGCTTTACCACGCATTTTGAATTAGTGTACTTGTACCTTATTTTTTATTTTTAGCTACCACTTTCTGCTAAAGAGGTATATTATTTTTCATGTGGTTCTTAAATTAATAGAATTAATGAGACATTAGTTACATGATTCCATATTAATATTCCCTATGAAGTGGATTTAAAAAATAGCAACTTTTTTACAACAATAACAACAGCAAGTACTCATAGAAAAGGTTAAAACATTATGGCTTTTTATAAAGTATATAAACTTTATATAGATGGAACGTTCCAAAATAGCCACAGTAAGTGACCGAGTTAAAGACTTTGATGCAGAATGCTATAATGTTGCTATAATGTATGTACAGTAGGTATAATATATTTGTATTAATAAATTAATATTGTTTATGTTCTGAGACAATATACTTTTGTTGTTTTTATTTTCAGCTACCAACACTTCACTTTAGTTACATGATTCCATATTAACATTCCATATTAAGTAGCAATCATTTCACTAACATAATCTGTACTAATGCAGTTACCACCTATCAGTTGTCTTTGGCCAGTGAATGACACACCCTGCCACGCCGCAGTACTGTCCACAGTGCAATGGAAAGAGCTTACCGTCCACTGAACCTTGACTGAGGAAGAAGATAGGACAGTGGGGTTGTGAAGGTGGACAATCACATCTCCCAACTCCCTCTGAATCTGTCTGTGGTCCACACCTTGACTGGTTGGAGGAATGTCTGCTAATAAAAGCAGGAAACCTTGAGTAGAGAACTAAATAAATACCTCATGCTATATAGTGTATTCAAGGCAGGAAAGATCATACTGGAATACTGGAATAAAGCTGTTAGGTTTTTTTAGAAATATAGCACATTATGGACATACAGGTAATTACAATACTAAATTTGTGCGTTTCACACTACTGAGAGGACAGTAGTGGAAACACTGTAGATTATCATAAATAAGAAATATTAAACAAATTGTCATTTTATGTCAGTTTTCACTGGCTGGAATGTGCTGGGAAGTCAGGTTAGAATCACTTCAGGGAAGGCAAGTCTGATGTAACTTAAATCTAGCAATATGTTCACAGCCAGGAATAAAACAGGGAGACAGCCCAATCTACAGATGTTTCTCAAGTATCTGCAGAATGTGGCATCCTGGAGATTCTGAAAGTAAGACACTATGGCACCCAGTCCCATGAATGTCTCCAATAACCTGAGTCTATCCTAAACAGCACTAACTTACACTAACACCAGTTTCAGGCCAGTGAGGGCTAAAGGTATGGATTGAGTTCAATGTTGAATGGCATTATCACATAAACTTGCCTGATTTTAACGCTTCTAAGCATAAACTTGGCTGTCAGATTCTTCTTTCACAGGAGTAGTGGTACCTACTGGACCCATGCTAATTTCTTTCAATATACTCTCAAAACTTTACATCTGCTATAACATAACATTCTGTTATGTTAAACAGAAAATAACTAATGTCACAAGTAGTTGTGTAATTTTGTAAAGTGTCTGCAGTACAAATGGTAATTTGCGTTGTTGAAGTGCCTATTTAAGATCTGTATAAAAAGGCAAGCCACACTCATTCTTTCAAATAATTGCAGGCACATAACCACACAGCCACATGAAATGTTATTTAAACCTGCAGAGATTTGAACAAAAAGCTTTTTGTTTCAAACCATGTTATGAGCTACACAGACCACTCCCGCTGTCCCTTTAAGAGCACACCACATGCTGAGTTTGACACATTGGGCCAGATTGTAAAAATATATGCAAGTAGCTCAGCAGACTGGCTCAGCAGACTGGCTCAGCTTTCCTTCTTCTTTTACACAGTTAACTGTATATAAATAATATGTTTTATGTTATATTATATATAATTTACAAAAAAAAATAAAACCTTAAAGTGTGGGCATACACCAGTCTCTGTGGCAATAAATTGAATGTCCTGTTGATTTTGAAAAATTCACTTGTTTAATTTAATAAAATTGTGAATATAATTGTGGAATAATTTATTCTGAATGCAGCAGAAGTTGCCCAATAGTTACAAAGTTTAATGTGCAAAGTACATACCCTGGGTTTTGACTGCATCAGATATTGGGCTTGGGTCGCTCAGGCCATATGCATTTGCAGCCCTCACAAGGAAAAGGTAGACAGCACTGGGCTTCAAGCCTTTCACAGAATAAGTCTCTGTCTTCACGTGTTCTGCCACAGTCTGCCAGCTGCTTCCAGATGCATGACTGGAAAAAAAGGAGCGGAATGCAGCCGCTGTATTGAAAACGTGCATTGGAAATGAAGTGCATTGGTACAGCTCTGGACATTCACCAGTATTTTATCTTACTCCCAGATACATTGCCACAAAAGAGTTTCAGGCTTTGTAAGTAACATATTCTCTCAAGAAGCATGCTAATGCAAATTCTATCAGCCCCTGACATTCACGTTTTTTTAAAAGCATACCTTCCAAGTGCAGTACCAGTAATAACTAATTGCTCACTATACCGTATATTACTACAATTTCCAATTCCTCTAAACTAAAGCTGTAAAACTGCATTGACTGCATCGCTTTTTGTAAGTGAATGCTAATGGATGTAAGAGAATGCTATCAATGTCAGTTTATGCCCTGAGAAATGTGGTGACTCAGCTGCTCTAAAATGATATCATGATAGTTCTTAAGGTTTAGGAACAAATGACTCTTTTTCTCTAAAGAAACAAACTTGTAAGCAAGAGACTACGTCTCTTTAAATGACATGAGTCACTGCACAGTGCACAGTTTAAATCATGCCATCAGTACTTCATTGATATTTGGTTAAAGAAAGGTATGTTTTTTTAGAATTGTTGTGTACACAAACAGGCAGACAGTCCACTTTTTTTATCCAGTCAAGATATCTTCCTTACAAAAGATCCTGTTAGTCAGGAATTCAGATAGATATGGGGATTAGTTATTCACCTTTCCTGGTGCAGTAAATAAACTCAAAGCCTCAACGCTACAGTCTTCTCTAAGTGATATGGTTTTCATTCTATAACTTGAAATACCAGCAGAATACACTTTAAGCACAGTGCACTGGATCTACACAACAACTTTTAACACTTAATATTAAACAGTGAGAATTAATTAGAGATTCTGAGAACAGGGACAACATTTTGAAAAGATACTTTATATTGCATTTATATAATATGCAACAACATACTAATATAAAGCTAAGTTATGCATTAAGATTTTCAAACTAATCCCCCCATTTATTGCAGGACTGTAATACAGTAACACAAAGCCTATCCCAGAAGCATAGGGTGCAAGGCGAGACTACGCCCTTGATGGGATGTGGGTCACACCCATAAAAGCACATACAGTAGTAACACAGGTTTACCTATATTGCATGACAAACCCATACAAACATGTGGAGAACATGTAGGCTCTATCTTACAAAAGATTTCTAGAAATTACAGACTGCATACTTTGGCTCTATTTCTCACTAGCGTGTCTGGTCCCCTTGCTCCTCACCTGAAAGCTTCAATGATGTAAGATGTAGGCGTGGCTCCAGAATTCATGTTTGGCTTCCATGACAGTGTGACAGAGTTCCGAGTGACATCAGTGACTTCTGGCTTGGAAGGGGCACTAGGTATTAAATTAGGATCTGTTGGTCTAGCTGGCTGTACAGGCACTCCAAATTCTTACAGAGAAGAAAAGAGAGTCATTAGAGAGAGAACAAGTTCACTTCTAATATATTTCTAAAGAGATTTGGCTTAATATTTCAGAAATGTGATTACTGATTGAGTTTCTTCTGGATTTTCTCATAGCTTGCCCCTTTGCTGAGCGGCCCCAACTGTTTTACCTTGAACTTCGAGGAAAGCCTTCCATGTAGCCTCGCCGCTCGGAGTGGAAGCAATGCAGGTGTACATTCCAGTGTCGCCCAGCTGTGAGGGAAATGCAAGAAACGAAATGGGCAGAACTGTAGTGGGCTGGAAAAGCAATTACACTTCCATCTAGAGTCCATGAATATGGATAGTGTCATGCCCCTCTCTATTAACATTCTGAAACTGTCCTACTGCCAGGTTAGTAATCATGTTATTACTCCCAGCAAAGCTGCAGTATTCCATCTAAAGGTATTTCACAGTTAGATGGATTGAATTTATTAATGCAAACTAATTTGAGACGTTTCCCAGCTCGCTTTGTTTGAGCTAACAATCCTCAAGCTCACGACATATATGGCTCTGATACAACATTGAACAAAACCTATGAAGCAAAGAGTGCTGTGGCTGGTGTCCCTCACAAAATGCATGATATACCCTGATGCAACACAACACAGGGTGGAGAGTGAAAGAGGATCTTTGTGAACCTCAGAGGAAGAATGAAGTGCAACTGCAGTGCCAGGTGGTGTTTCTCCATGGCAAAGGAGCACTGGAAAGAACTGTGGCCCCGTACAGAGGCTGAAGAGGAAAAAAGAAAAAAATATGTTCCTCTGGGCTCCTGTGGAGAACTGGACAATCTCAGTTTCAGAGAAGGGACATTGACTATAGCAAGTGGTAACACCCAGGAGGCTTGCCAAAAAAAAAATGATAATCAACCTTTTTAATTTTTTTACATTATGTAAAAAATTGTATTGTCTGCAAGAACTGTATACTGTACGTGTACTTTATTTTGAAAAGTGAAAAGTTTATTTTCTTAAATAAAGATTGTGAGAGTAGAGATCTTAACCCCAGTGTCCTGGGGTTAAATTCTACTCTGGCTTTAAATAATATGGACTCTTGAAAGTTTTCCCTTGATTGCATTGGTGAAGCAAAGCTCTTTTCTTCACCAAATCTCTGGACTGGAACAGAGAAGGTTTAAATTGAAATGCTAAAGAGCAACAAAATGTAGATTTTTAAATAGCAACAGCATGCTGCATTAAGACAGCTACAAAGAACAAGACAACAGCAAATAACTGCTGTATCACTCATTTTGTATTTCTTTATCCATTAGCCTCTAGATATTCAGAGGGTACAGCGAGCTTTAGAATTAAAGAAACTAGCAATGAACCGGAGACAATCGTAATTTCCCTGTTACAATGAATATTCAAAATTGTAGGAAACAATGGAAAAACTAGCAAATTAAATATTAAATCTGTAATAATCCTGGCTCAGATTTCACTGAGACAAATAGCTGTTATTTGAGTAGTGATTGATGCAACAAACAATAAACATTAAAGGATAAAGATAGTTTTAGTATTTCACAATTACTAATAGGCAAAGCATATACTGTATAAAAACAAATAGAAAAAATTGTTATTGCTGGTTGCTGGTGGTCGATTTTCTAGAAATTGCTGTTATTGCTAAGTAGGTTTAGACTACTCATGAGATCTTTCAAGAAGGTGGTTTGAAATGTAAAAGCAAATGCAAAGGGATGCAGCGAATCAACTGTCAAAACTGAATAAATCTAATTTAATTAAAATAAAGCTGTGACCTTGCAGTTTGATGTGACCTTTAAACCCTATTGAAAGAATTTATACTTTACCAGGCTGAGTTTCACACATCATAATGGTGTTTTCTGACAGCCTAAGAATTCATCAAACTGCAGACATTCTCCACACTGTCTGACAGCTACTGACAGCTTTTTGAAGTCCCTTGTCTGTAAACAGCTGTTACTGTATCTCACTGGAGAGGGATTTTAGCTTTAGCATTAAGAAAAAACAACAGAAAAGCAGCTTTTGAAAACAGTACAGCAGAATTCCTGCACAGAACAAAGGTTAATTCTTTGTTCTGTTCCTTAAGGATAAATTGAAACAGAATGTAGAAAAATTGGAAACTGTGTTAGATTTTCTTTTGGTTCAAAAGTATGAAGTCTTCCTTTTCTCCCTCAAAAGCTAATGTTTTTTTAACGTGTAAATTATAAAAATCTAATGGAAAACTACTGGCAAGAAGAAATGTATATACTGAGAAACTTAGTTTAAAATGCAGCAGATGAGACAATTTTAATTAATTAAACACATAAATCCCGACATGCTAAGAAAATGCTAAGAAGATGAAAATAATTAAAAAACAAACTGCAGTTATCTGACATCTGTGCCACTGTAAGAGTAAAAAGGATTTATTCTGTATCCCCTTACTACAGTACTGTATGTACTTCTCACTACTAACAAAGAGTTCATGAACAAAATGTCAGAAAACTCTACATTATCACATTATAGAGTGGCATACTGTGCAAAAATGGCCACAGCCAGTAACATGTCTCTGTTGAATGCTCACCTGTAACATGGAGACAAAAAGAACCCAGTGTTATAATAAGAACCTTGGTGTTCAGACACCCTAATGAAGGTTGAGCTGTCTGATCAACATTATGCACGCAAGCTTTTCTATCGGGAGTTTTGTGATCAAGGAAAATTAGATTTTCCTTTGATTTAACAGCAATAAAATTTTACATCTGAAGTGATGTGATAGGCCATTATTAAGGCATCTATATATGTGATTAATTATTATTTAACATGGACTGAAAAGGCCTCATCCTGAAGGACCTTTGCTGGATTTGAAAACTTACACAGCCAACTCAAATTTAATTCTTGTGGTTTCACTCAGGAAAACAATGATGAGGGAGGAGGTGGGTGATCCAGGGTGTACTCTACCTTGGCATAGCGAATTTGGAGGGCACCAGTGTCTTGCTGCTTGATGCGGGAATCGTGGGTAGAGACCAGGACTCCATCTTTTCTCCACAAGATGGTTGGCATTGGATTGCCTGTTGCCAAACAGCTGAGGGTAACTGTACCATCCACAGCCACCGTCTGGTTTAAAGGACCTTGTTTAATTACAGGGGGGGGCCTGTCTGACACAACTGACAACCAGAGAGAGAAGGAAGGAGAAAGAAGAGGTAGAGAAAAAGATAAATATCTCAGAGCTAGAACAGCCGAACACCTTATAAATACAAAAAAGAAAGTTGCATTCATTTTATTCATTCCGGTTCCTAAGCGTACATAGAAATTAGGGCTTTAACGACAGCTGTAACACTAAATTACTATTGGCATACAAATCTTAAATCTTGAGAAAATCTCATGTAGATCAAAAGAGATGTACTGAGTGTTGGATAGACTAAATAAATTTAATAAATGCCAATTAAATTTAACTAGGTGAAGACATTGAGCTCCCTTTCTTGTAATATACAGACTGGGTCTAGCACTGCGTAATTTTTTCCAGTAACCAAACATATAAAATATAAGCTGGACAATTAATTGTACTTCAACTATATTAGTACAAAGGTAATTATGGAGTCCTGTAATTAACCATCTTTTCCAGTGGAAGAGACAGGCTTGCAAGCTAAGTTTGGCACTGGTAGGACTGTTCACAATCTCAAACTGCAGACACCTGGCTCTCTGCAGACAGCTCTGGAGTGTCAGGGCTTTCTCTCACCATTGGGGGGAGGAGGGGTGGCAACTGCTTGCCCGGTTGCTATGGGAATGTTTGAGGGCCTGCTTTTTTATCTGTCTGCAGCTGGGTTATTTATTCAACAAATAATTAACAGACACTAGCCTCATCTTCAGGAAACAATGATTTGCCTCTGCTCTACCTGAAAGTGATCGTGATCATATCCTTTGTAATTGCTAGTTCCACTTCCATGTTGATCAGTTTAAACCTTAATGGATTCTTTTTAAAAAACAGAAATACACTGTTTATTTTCCCAAAACCATTTGTCTGGACCTTCTTTTGGCAGAACTTAGTAAACAGTAAAAAGCTTTTTTTCACAGAAACCTAGAGTTCAAAGTGCTAAGATTAAAATAATTTTCACTTAAGTATTATCAGTATTATACATTTTTTTTTTTAAAAAAAAGCAGAATGCATTTTTCACATTGCTCAAGCTGTGTGGGCAAAAAAACTTTCTCTTTTTATGCACCTGTATATTTAAACTCACTACCATTTATTTAAAGATTGGCTTTAAATTGCATATTGTTTGAAATACATTTTTGGATACGTCAAACTGTACTTATAAATGTACCTTAAAACCCATATTTGCTCTGTAGAAACACTCTGAGCAATGACCGTTAAGTTAAATGGGCAGCAACACAATTAGGTTCTATACCTCATATTACATGGTTTTATACATAAAAATATTTTTTACACTGTATTTCGGGGAGAAACATTTTCTGCTGTGACATTTTATCTTGTAATATATTCATATAATTTTCTTTCATGCTGTGGATTGTGCACAGGTCAGCACAGTTCCAAGCAATAGTGCTAGTTATAAAAAAACATTATGACATACAGTAGGCAAAGAATTATATTGGTATTGAAAAATATTCACATTCCAGTTCTCCACTTACAATGTTCCCGCATTTGTGCCCTTTTCTGTCCAACAAAAAATGCAACACAAATAAAAATGCCTTCTTTTTCAGGCTGAAAACTCATAATATACAGTGACTATCAAAAGTATTAATCCCCCTTGAACTTTTTTATATTTTACCTTCTTAAAATATAGAATTACAATGCACAGTATTTATATGGGACACAAAATACTCTATAATGTTCAAGTGAAAAGTTTTACAAATAATCCTAAATTAATTATAAATATAAAACACAAAATAAGCCACTGCATAAGTCTTCACTTCTTTTACTATGATACACTTAAATAGGATCTGGTGCAACCGAATGTCTTTAGAAGTCACATAATTTGTTGAATGTGCAATTAGGGTGTTTTACATGACTTCAGGATAACTCATGTAACTCAGGTCCCATATTTTATTAATACAGCTCCCACCAAACACTGCATCAGGAACTTTCAAAGTAAAAAGCACCAATCTGGGGAAGGGTACAGTTTTCCAAAGTATTACATATCCCCAAAGCACAGTTAAGTCCATTATAAAGAAAAATATAAAAAATTATAAAAAACTATGGCAAAACTGTGAAACTGAAGAACAGGGTGTCCTCAAGAATTCAGTTTCCGTGCAAGAAGTGCACTAGTCAGGGAGGCCTCCAGTGAAAACTCTAAAGGAATTACAGTCTTTCAGAGCTGAGATGGGAGAACCTGTGCATACTGTATGACTATTGCCTGGGTGCCTCAGAAATTTGGACTTCATGGGGAAAGTAACAAAAAAATGGACATAAAATCTCAACTACACTTTTCTAGAAGAAATGCAAGAAATTCTGAGACGAATTGGAAGAAGATTCTATGGTCTGAGAATACCAAAACTGACCTTTTTGATCTCAATGGTAAGGGTTCCGTTTGGTGCAAAACTAACAGTGAACATCATCCTGAGAACACAATTCCTACTGAGAAGAGTCCAAATTGTAACACAATAAAATGTAACAAAGTCCAAGGGTGAATACTTTTGATAGCCACTCAAAATGCTGCTATGGCCAACTGGTGTCTGCAAATATGCCACATATCCCAGTGCATTAATCCAATCATCAGAAACCGTAAAATAATAAAAAATAATAATAATTGAGAGTGGTAATATGGTAAAAAAGCCAGGAATTCTTATATATAAAGATTATCCACTATGGAGTTTGAATGCTAATTTCCTAAAACCCAGCAATCATCTAGGTGGTGAACTAAAACTATTAGTTTTAACTCTTGAATAGTATGGGCATTGATTTCCTCTATTCTATCTATAACAGTATGTTTACATGCTATTCCTATCTAGAGGAACATCAGCATCATCAAGTAAACAACTAAAAGCTAAAGCCCTTACATATATTTACACTTCAGGAGGAGATAAACCCAGCTGGCTTTGGTGTTTATCATTTTGCTGGAAAGGACTGAACTTTACTTTTTTTTAAATAGATTTTTGCCCTTTATAGCAGTGCTGATAGGGTACATATGCCTGTGTTTGGATTCCTCCTTACCATCTGTGACTTCCAGAAGAGCTTTGGTGATGACACTCCCGGCAATATTCAGAGCTTGGCAGCTGTAATATCCTACATCTGACCTCTCTGCATCTGTGATTGTGAGGTCTCCGGTCTGGGAGACAGAAAATCGGCTTGACGGCTGGGGGGGCTGGTATGAGAAGAGAAGGTTCTGGAAGACAACGGGAGAAGGTTGAGGAGTCTGAGCTGGAGTAGTAATGGCTTTCAAAAGAGTTTCCAAGAACAGCTGAGATAAAAAGGCCTTGTTTGCCTGTCGAACAAGATTTTCGTGGCAAGTGCCAATCATAGCTTCATGATCCCAAATTTTACGTTGTATATAGATCCAGCTGCTTCTTGTCAGAGGTGTGAGCACTTATGAATAAACCATAAAGCACATACTGTATTGATTGCATACAGAACGAACCAAATTAAATTTGGATGACTGCTTGGCTACACTCCTGTGGGTGCTCATGCGCATGTGTGCACACACTCAACATGTCAAGTGCAAGATACGGAGTGACAGTAACACCCTGCAAACAGCTCAAGTAATTTCACAATAGATTTGTTTTCTTGCTAAGAAATCAGAGCATAAACAAACTGTTTCCAGTTTTCTTTTCCAAGCAGCAGCAGCTGCTAATCTTTCAGGTTCTGCATGCCTGTCCATGTTCTGGGACAAGTCTCTCAAGCTGGGAAAAGAAATGTTCATTTAATTGATTTCCACATTCCCTGTAGGCCAGGAACTGCTGTGCAGAATGCTTAAAAAAGGTCACCAAGTATTTTTTTCTTTTACCAGTGTGATAATATTCTCAACTTGCTTACATTTTCATATTAGGTAAGGAACCCATGTATTTTGATACCCAATAAGTGTTACAAATATCATATTTAGTTTTTTGACAATTTTTACACTGACATTGAAAAAACACAGTCTGGTAGTTTTAAAGTCTTTATAAAAATTTAAATAAAGAAACGAGAAAGTCCACTGAGTCAGAAGTGTAGACTTTCAATAAAAGAAAAAAATATATTCACAACACTTTCTACGCTGAACTACAGATTGTGATGCAGAACAGTCCAGATAGCCTTTCTCTGGGTTTTTGATTTACAAACAATCTCAAGCAAACGTAGTTCACTTTAGAAATACATCCAGAGAACCAGAATGGATTCAAAATCCCACTGTTTCTGTTTCAGGAATAATAATCAGGATGTGGCTATTACCTGGCTCCCCTCTCGTTGCCAGAAGATGGCAGGCTGGGGATTGCCTGTGGCTTCACACTGGAATGTTACGGTCCGACCCACTGCCACAACTTGGTTGCGAGGACGGATAACAAAAGCTGGGGGTACTAAGGGGGCCAAGAGGAGAAAAGGTTAGTTCAAGTGAATTAAAAAAAACAATAAGTCAAACCATGGCATTTACTCCGGGACCTAACAAAAGTATACATTCTTTATAAAACAAGCAATGAATGGCTTAATCAAAAGTTCAAGATTTGTTATGATAACTTCAGGCAGGCAGATTTGACTCTCCCATTTGAACACAGAACTGATTTATAAACACCTATTGCCTTTAGTTCTCATTCTTCATTTTCAACTTTCAGTTGTTGATACTGTATGCTGTTTTAAAAGGCCACTGATTCCCATTTTAATGCAAAAGACTGTTCTCCAGCTGGAGCAGGTGGCTTCCTTTCCAGGGGATTTGCATGCAGAACCCCACTAAACTTCTGGAAACAAGATATGCTACAATTGCTCAGACTGTATCTGCTTTCTGCTTCTGGCTTTAACTTTCTGCCAAATATCAGAATTAAAATGACTGAAATATTTACTCTTTCAGTCAGTCTTACTCAGTGCAGATTACAAACCGTCAAATCATTGCTTGCATGCATACAGCGGGACAGCTATAAAGCTTCAAGAAAAGTCTGTCAAGAGATTATTCAATTGAATAGAACAGACACAGATTCAGCATGCCTTAAAGAGAAGTGCTGCAGCTTTAATTGTAAAGGAGACATTGGTCTTTTCACAACTCACTGGAAATGCTTAGAATTTTCAAGTATGTTAATGTTAATCATTTAAACAAATTCAATCCAATTAGAGAAGATAAAAAATAATTTAAATGGGAGTGTGATCGTTACCTTTCCTAATTTGCAAGAGTACATATAAACTTAATTTAAATGAAAAAGTGAGGAAAATCTGAACCATCTGTCCATGTTGACTTCCTCAATGATGCTGTCTCATTCCAGGTTATTTTATTTATGCCCCGTTAAATACTAATTTCATATAGTACAATGTAAGTCAATGCATTCTTATTCAGGTGGCACTTTCAACAGCATTGCCTCTGAATGGTGGCAAACAGTGAGCAGCAAAGGAAGATATTCCAGAGGATGGCAAACACATGCTGAATTCTTATAGCTCATTCACTTTCTTATGTACCTAGTGCAAAGGAACAATTAAAGGTTTATTCAATGCTGAGAAGAGAAGAAAAGAAACACAATGTTTTGGCTGTGGTGCCTTCTTTAGGTATGCCTTTTCCAACTTACTTTTTTAACAATATGTTTTAATACAGGGGGTGGTGTGGTGTGTAGCATGGCTGCCACAATTTTATCTTACAGCCTGTTGTCAAGGCATCTCTAAATCTTCCCCTCCATATTTGTGTGACTCTTGAGGGACTGGAATTGATTCCTGAGTTTATCTTGCCTTGCACCCTGTGTCTGCTGGGTAAGTCCGGTAATTATTGAAGACGGACAAATGAAAGTTTGACTGTGTCAAAACATTATTTCTTGTGAATCTTCAACAAGGAAGCACATTCAACTTCAACTGTAAAATATCAAAAAATGGTTTACTAAATGTGCCTGTATGTGAAAGATATTATGCTCTATCATTTTACAGCAAGAGGGCAGAATATCTTAGAACCTGAGAGAGAGAGAGAACACCTGACTATACTATCAATTGGGGAAGACTTTCAGGTAGCTGTCTTTCATAAAGTTAGAAAGTGTGTCTCTATTAATAAGAGTAGTATGGTTTAAAACAGGCAGGATTCAGAGAGTGGTCTCTAAGTGAAAGAAGTCAGGCAAAATTGAAGAGCAAGGGTTAGTATTTTTCTCATATGGCCGATTGGTTGGGGGTCTCCTGTCTTTTCTTGGGTTTAAAGGGACCAAAGCTCTCTCAGCAAAGCTGTCCTAGTACTGTCTGGTTAGGAATCTTTAAAGACCAAGACATATAAAATAAACTAGTAGCAAACTCAGTTGTTGCTGTGTCAGGTCTATTGGTAAGATCACAGTTATGGTAGACCTGGCCAAATTGGATTGATCTACAGTAGAGAGGGCTTATAATTGCTACCACCTAACACCACAAAGTGTTCTTTCTCAAACAAAGGAAGATAACATCTATTTAAATCTGGAGGGTATTACCACAGAAGGGACAAGGTAAATTTAGCCAGTTATAGATTAAGGTTGGCATGGTTATAATTCCTGGATGGAATTTAAAGGTTCCCCAGTAGTGGAATAGAAAGAGAATGGTTTTCCAGTAGAGGAACATAAAGGTCAGAGGCTACAAGCTCTGGAGGGAGTTTTGGTAAAGGAGTATTGTGGTATTTTAAATATTAAGGGTTACGTCTCATATCATACGTACAGTATATGGGATAGGTCTCAAGATGAACTAGCTAATAAGTTCTCAGCTATCCAGGCAGACTGATTGGAGTTTGTCAGAAGGTTGGATCTAAGGTAGACTTGGGAAGGGAATAGGTTCTCCTCAGTCATAATTCCACTGTTAACTGTCAGCATCCTGAAGCTCAGAGTCTGTGAGCAAAGTTTTATAGATGTTACAGTAAGTAAGAACTTCTGTAGCATGTGGCAGCTGGTGTGGAACTCATCCTTACTTGGTTTGTAAAGATACAGGTTTCTCAGAATGTAGCTGAGGTTTTTTTGGAAGGGATCCAGAAAACTTCTGATTAATCTTAAGAGGACAAAACGGTTAGTCAGGAGTGAGTAGCTATAAGAAAGACTAGAGAGGTTAGAGCTATGGTATGTAAACCTATGATAAACCTAAGCTAAATAGCATCATGCTCAGGGTGAGGGAGATAAGGTTTCGTTAAAGAAACATTCCCTGGAAGGTTATTGGGTTACCCGAACTCAACAGGTAACTGGACACACATAATCTTGGAGAACATTCAAATTACGTTCAGATTCTCACTCACAGTTACAACCTAAGCTTTGGGAGAAACTGGATGTCCAGTCCTGGAACATTCATTACATAACCTATGTCTAAGATAGAACAATTAAAATGTGTTGAATGTTAAAAAGGTACTAAAAGAAGAGAAAATTCCAGACAGCAAACAATCTGAGATTATACAATGAAGATGCGATTTAAAAACCTGTGATACTGTAAGCTATAATGATGGGCATGGATTGATGATACTGTACACAGGTATTTCCGCCATAGTATTGATCAATGAAAATTGTGAAAAACATAGTATAATAAAGAAACACTTTGTCTTCTGACTTTCAAAATCTTTTTTCAAATGCTAAGCTGATTAATTAATTGATTTTTTAAAAATGATAATGTCGTTTACGAAGGTACTGTACATACCTAAGCTGTCATCTAATTAGGGATTCAGTTTTTGAAAACAAAAACAATCATAGTACATCCTTAGATCAATGATGGGACATTCAAAGAAAAAAATGAAATGAAACTTCTCAGGTTTACCTTGTCCCTCAGATTCACATTTACCCATAAATATGTTGTCCTTTCTGCCATTGTTGCTCGTGACAATTGAAACATGAATGCTGATTGGTAGGTGGAGAGGAAAAGTGATGAAAGGATGATGTCTGACAACTTCCTGTTGCTGTCAGTGCAGTGAAGAGGTGACGAATGAAATTTCAACTTACCAGACACAACTAAAAGAAAACAAACACAAACAATGCATAAATAAAAGTAATTCAACTTAGAAGAAAGAAGCATAGTAGAATGCATGAGAAAATCACAAAACACAGATGGTAATTTGTCTTTAATGAGGAACTTCAAGAATGTTACTGACTTTACTGTCAATGTTAATGCAAATATTTTAATGGAAATTCTTCTTAAGAAATATATTGTTTATCTCATGTAAGTAGCTGTATTACAGGCTTTTCTTATCTTAGCAATGAAAATATCCCAGTGTAAATTCACAATGCAGAATTTACATTGGGATCTAATAGGATGGCATTAGCTATGACAAAATTATACAAATAGGAAAAACATAATTAGGTTCTTACATTGATTGAACAGATATCCTGAAATCCAGAATACAGTGTTTAGGAAAAAGAAACTCTAAGACTACTTGCATTTGAATTCAGTAGGTCAGAGTGAACAGTGTTCATGGTATTTCAAAATTGTTAATTCTGAAAACAGACAATCTGTGATATATTGAGCACTGTTGGGTTTACTACCATATAGTTCAGTTGGATAGCTGCATCAGCATGCGTAAGCTGCAAAGGAACAAGTAATAGGTTTATTCCATGAACAAACCTACTACTTGTTTGTTTGCTAACTACCATATAGGTTATATTAAGGCAATGTCTGAAGCCAGGACTTCAGAGTCCAGAGTCTGAAAGCTACAAGGTATTACATTTTATCAAATGTTTCTGAAAACTGCTGATCACTTAGCTGGCTGTATTGCAACAGATCAGCAATGCAGCTAATTGGTTCCCATCTCTTATCATTTATAGAAACATAATATATAAATATATAAATAAGGTAACATATTTAAAATCCTGAATGCAAATTAATACTTAATTAATAGTGTTCTGCAAAAACATACAATAGGCAAGATATATATATATAGTTTATATGCCAATAGGCAATAAAACAATTATTTTATACACAAAATAGGACGTTTACACTGCTAGGTACAGAACAACCTACTAAGAATAAAACTACAGTATTTCTCTAAACTGACAAATTATTTTTTTTCTAACAGGCATTGATGACTTTTAGAACTTGACTTTAGCTGGTCTATTTCTATGTTATAGCCTCCTCCATCTCAGAACTTTTACTATAATTTGTATTGTAAGAAAAAAGATTCTCTATATTCATGTGTCAGTATAATTACTGTATGTATACAATTCTAATGCATGTGTCTCTTCTGCAGCATTGAGAGCTCCCAAGGACAGAGATCAGTCTAGGCAGTTAAGCAGGGTTATCTCTGACAGTATCGGTCATGCCTGCCAGAATTCTGTGCACTGTTATGAAACAGTACTTAAAACTGGTTCTACATCATGATCAAACTAACATTAAACTTTTTTCATTGAACACATAGAAAACAATGAACATACATTAATGTCCTCTTTCACTGAGAATATGCAATTATATAACTCACACAAATGTTATAGTCAAGCAGAATCAACAAATTAACAAAACTGAATTACACATTCATATCCGGAGAGTAACTAGTCAAATCAAATGAAAAAATTGAAAACAAATGATAAGTTGATCATCAGGAAGTATGAATGAATGAAAAACATGACCTCTGGAACAATGTGCTATGGAGTCAAAAAGTGGACTTGTCTGGCCATAAAAACGTCTGAAAACGTCTGAAAAACCAAACACTGCCTTTGACCAGAAGAATCTCATACCAACCATCAAGCACAGTGGTGGGGAGGGGTGAAAGTTTGGGCCTGCTTTGCTGCCTCAGGATCTGGATGCCTTGCTGTCATTGAGTCATTGAGTCTACCATGAATTCCACACATACCGGAGTATTTGTGAGGAAAATGTAAGACCTGTAAGATTTGCTACCAGGTGAAGTGAGACTGATCAACTAAAAGGAAACGTTTTATTCAAGTAACTGCAACCAAAGGAGGTGACACAAGTTACTGAATAAACTTGTATGAAAGGTGTAGCTTCTTACATAATTTATTTATCATCCGAAATTCCAAATTGTAGGGGTATAAAAAGGAAAAAAATCAATGATTTGGAAATGTGTTGCTCCTCCTCATTAATTAACATACTGTATGCACTGAACCTCAAAAGGAATAACTGTAGTGGAGATCCCACTATCCCTATTTCAGCATAGTTATAAAAAAGAAAAGCAAAAAAACAAAGCACTTGTTGTAACTCTGTTTACATAAATAAAAAATATAATGTAATCTAGCAAGTTGGTAATATCTGATTCTGTTGTCAATTGAATTTATTTAAACCTACGACAGTGTGGTATTTAATATTAATTTTACATATACACAAATACTCGATTGGGGTGTTTTAACTCCTTTCTGAAGTGTTTTTTTTTTAAGTGGAATAAAGAACTGTAAAAAAGAAATAGAATGAAAGTCAGTGGCAAGTCCTCACAAAGCTAGGAATACAAACTGGTATGTGTCAACAAGGCAGGCTTTGAAAGTTTTTACGTAATCTTAAATTTGGAAATGCTTGCCAGGGACACATGCAGATTTATTAATTAGGGTTTCAATGCTTTCTTACACATAATAGCTTATATCAGCCATGTGGTAAAATGCGCAGCATGTCTATTGTGTGATTAATAAAGCCCTCCTGTGGGAGTATTCTGTGCAGAATGTCTTGCTGTATCTCGTCTTCATTGCCTGCTACACACTGGGCCTTTACATTCACATACACACCCAATGCTGTAATTTATTAATGTTCTAAAGATTAATTATAGGGGAAAATTATAGGGGAAAACACAAATGTTATTTCCATTAACAACCTAACTTCCTAGTAATGAGGGAACTGCACTGTGTATCGGGTGGCTAAAGTCTTAAAATCTCTCATTTCACTGTAAACTTTGGAGCAGTTTTTCAAATGTCAAATTTCAAGCCTTTAACAAAACCCACTGTATTCAAATTTGTATCACTGCTATTCAGTGCCCACATTCATCAACCAGTACTGGTTACAAAAAACAGGGCTTCTCACTTTCAACAAAAGTGTCTTAAAACTAGTGTGTGCAGTCAGGGAACTCCAAAAGCATAAAAATGAGGAATCCAGTCTTTTTCCTGAGGGCTTAAAAACAATGTTTTAAACCTGCAACACAATGTACCTGCTATTTCCCTGGTTTCCTTGAACAGGATTTCTGTTCAAGACCAGGACCTGGAAATTGAAATCACATTTTGAACAGAACTTGGAGAGTTTTTGTGAACAATTTTAAGAAAAAGAAAAAAGAATTATATGAATATGTTAGCATCAGACATCAAAGCCTCAATGTCAAAATGTAGTTTGCAGAACAGTTACAGGGAAATGCTAAGCATTTTTCGGTTATTTTTTGGCAGGACACATACATTTCATTCCAGACTCTTTACATGCATAATTAGTACACAGTATGTGTCTTGGGATTAAAGTCAACATCTATTTTCTTCCTCAAACAATAATCTCCTATAATCAAATTGGAGGGTGTAGGAAGCTTTTTTGGGATTATGTTTTCATGGTTTTTAAAATAATTGACCAGATTTGATTCTTGACATTGGTCAGTATTTTTTGTGTCGAAAGAAAACTTTATCAAGCACAGACTAAAGTGATCCTTATTTATAGACTCAGAAGCATGTTTTCTAACTTAATACTGAAACTAATGATCACCGCATTTGATTTGCTTCAGATTCAATTGCATTATATAATAATGCATTCTACAATAATACATAATATTGTAGAATAAAGCATGTTTTTTCCTCGAAACAGCTTTCTATGCCTTCTCATATAAATTCGTAATTTATACTGTGGATTATTAATGAGCAAAGAGCACTTTCTGCATGTGACATTTGCCAGTCGATTTTTACACTGAAGAACTGCACATCTAAAAGCTAAACTGCACCACTGCTCCAGGGTCATTAGATTTTACAATGTAGTGACTCTTTACCTTTAAAACCTAACAGTGGAAAAGAATTGCGGTTCATGGCACCAAGAGATGTTTGTACAGCGTTACTATCCCCCTGTGAGGTGCAAAGTAGCATAGCTCTGGTTGGCCACTGCAGGGCTGTATTAATTAGCATCCACTCAGGCCTGGCTTCCTGTACCCTTAGTCAAGGGCTATTGAACACATCTGAGCCCTGAACAAGGGCTCTACCCTATCCATGTTTACTGTGTCTTGGTTCAACTGCAACCACCAGCATTAAAACCTGCTCTGTTTACTTTAATAAGCTAAGAAAATCAGTAAAATAACTCTTTGTAAACCAACAGCTTACTCAAACAAAATGCATGTTCTCCTACATAAAATACTTCAATATGAAGATGGAAATTTGAAAAAAGCAAGGGAACGTTTCCATAAAACAAAACATTCAAAATTTTTATTTCTGTGATGACCACAAGTCTTGAATTAAAGCTTAGGATCTTAATTCAAAATGGACCAAAACAAAGTTTTGGAACTGTCTTTGTTTTCCACTGATTGAGCAAGTATATGACGAAGCTATGAGCGATTATCTAAAACTATCGATTTCTGACAGGTTTCCTGCTTTGTAGCATTTCTGTTTCAAAAGACACTTGTTTTTCTGAAGCAACAAGCAAAACTATGTCAATTGCTACTATGACCATAAGAGAACACAGAGATTTCCACAGACTGAATAATTTAAAAAATATTACTCACAAGTGAACACAAGTGAAATTAATGCCTTCTTTTTATATATGCCACTATCACAGGGTCTAAGTCAATTCCTTTGCCTGGCAAAACAAGGATTTTATTTTGGAAAATCTGTATAAAGACAATTTAATATAACTACTATGCTATTTTTAAAGAACAGAATTGGACCCACACTGTAATGGAAATCTGTAAATATGTTCTCAGAGAGAATGCAATACCTCTAGACTTGATTAAGACATCATCTGTCTGTTGGTCAGGCACTTGCTTCTGGTGCGAACCCAGGACAGGATTTTATGCCTTAAGTTATTAATTCAAGTCTATTCATGGCTGAAATTAACAGCAAAGCTC